ATATCTCAAATGGCCACAGTTTCTCAGGAAACCAGTGTTTTTAAGCCATAGTTTTTAAGGGAATCACTTTAAATGGCTTTCTAGAAACAATTTCAAAATATACCACCACATGTAAATTTAGAGGAACTTTATCTTAAACCAGTACAAATTATAAATGTAAGTTCTTAATACTATGAGATAGTTAACCAAAGCATGAACTTCTGTATACTGAGGAAATGGGACATTCCAACCAAAATGAACTACATAAAAGCATTTAGGAGTATTTCCAAATTAGGTTGTAATGAAGTTTTAGATTTTTTTATCACAGAGTGCAGAATCTCTGTTTGATTTCCTACCATTGTAGGCTTTTCTGTAAATTACATTAGTTTACATACTCGCTAATCTGCAAAATATGGAAATAGGCAATGGACTCTGTAGTCATTAATGGAAATTACAGTAGTTTTTCTGTTTAGAAAAACTGAAATAAAGACAAAAATTAAGAGTTAAATGCCATTTGTAATTACTAACAAGAGTCTGAATTAAAAAATATCATAAAAAGATAGTAGTAATTATTCAGTAATGAAGTTACTTGTATTGCTCAAATACCCGAATGCTATGTTTTTTTCTTTTAGTGTTTGGGGAAATTTTTCTAAAGAGTACAGCATTACTTTTTGCTTGAAAATATTATATTATCTTCAAATTTCCTATTTGGAAATGTTTAGATGCATAATTTAGGAAAACCTTGCTTTTTAATATTATACAATATGGCTTTAATATGTAAATTTATAGCAATAAGTAAGTGTGTCTTCACTGGAATAATAAATTTTAATTACAGTCTCAAAAGTGTTTTCAAGTATCATTTACATAGGTTTTAAAATTTTCCTGTGAGTTACCATATATTCATTCCTCAGAAGAACTGATAGTTTAATTGAGATAATTGAGAAAGTGAAAATGAGAGTGATGGGGGGGAGGGGACTGTGACAATACAAAGGGTACCTGGTCCACTGCCGGGGGGAGTGAGGACCAGTTAGAAACCCTAACTCACCTGCATGCAGCCTACTTATGTAATTAATCCTCCCTTGTACCTCACATTTCCATAATAAAATACATTTTTTAAAAAATTTGAATGAGAGGAAGGGAGTCAGAATCAGCTTATGTACTGGTTCACTAATATTTGCCGAGTGCTTGCTGTTGGCAAGACACTGGGCATACAACAGTGGATAAAACAACCTAGACGTTATGGAGCTTATCATGTAATGAAAAGAGAGACATTATATAAATAATTATGCAAATAAATATGTGCTTGCAAACTGTGCTGTGTACTATGAAAAACTGATGAGAGCTACTAAAAGAAGTCTTAATGTGGACTTCTTTTAGATCGGGACTTTTCAGTAAAGTCTCCTCTGAAGATATGACAGAATAAATTACCCACGAAAGGTGTCAGATTTATCCAGGCGAAGAGTTGGAGTAGTAACATTCCAGGCTGAGAAATTACATATGGGAAGATGGTTGGTGCATTTCAGGGAAGGGTTAATGTGACTAAAATTCATTGAGGGGTGAGTGAGGGTGGTACAAAACAAGAATCATAATATGTTAGGTCATATTATGCAGAGTTTGTGATGACGCTGAGAATCTGTGTTTTAAGTGCAAGGGGAAATCAGAGAAGGATTTTGGGTCACATGATCATATTTGTGTCTTTTAAATATTACTTTAACTGGTATAGGAGTGGATTTGAAGGAGGCAAGAAAGGGAGTTTATGCTAGAAGGCCATGGGATAAAATAGTGGATTGAACAAGGATCATGATTATGACAGAACTGGAGAAACACGGGCAAATTTAAGATGCATACTGAAGGTAGTACTGAAAACTTGAAACATGATAAGGGATTCGATTTAAGAGAGAATGAGGAACAAGGAGGCATCAAGAGTATCTATCTTTCTTAACTATCCATCATCTATCTATCTTTCAGCACAGTAATTGGTTGAAGTTTGATTGTGTCATGTAATAATAAGGATGAACTCTAGACAAAGAGCAGATCCAGTGGGACTGAGACGTAGAAATCAAGAGTTCGATTTTGAGACTAATTTATTCCATTTGTGTTCCAAGTATTTAATTCACATTTTATAGTAACACAGCCATATTCCGTAGTCTTTTCAGACCATGTCCTCCACTAGGAAAATCTTGACATAGATTCCAGAGTTCCTGGATCTAAGATGCTACTTTCAATGAAGGATCAATGAAAAGAATGATGAGAATTAACTTTTAAGCTAGATCTTTTACCCTAGATTACAAAATGATATGTGCTTCGTCTCAGATTAAACAGTCTGAAGAAGAGTAATTGGCCAAGAATTTAGCATTATGGTTAAACTTTTTAAAACATGATTGTCTGCCTTCCAGATTACACTATCTGCCATCTTAGTCCAAACCGTTTAATGCAATGAGATTTCAGGTTTTCTCTCTGGTAGTGAATGCAAATTTGGAAGCAAATTTATGTTGTTTTTATCTAAAACTCATTTGAAAGAGAGCTCCTAACTTCAGTGATTCACAGGCTGCAACCATGTGGCAATGGCTGACAGCATTTGGAGGAATCAGGCAGAAAGCAGGCCTGGGAAGAGGGAGTGGGGTAGAAGTCAGGGTTTACCACAGAAGCCTTATGACAGAGAATCCAAAAATCTACAGTGGAAGAAAGAAAGAGTTTATTTCTTTAGGTGAAAAAAGAGTGGCCCAGTTGTTTCATAATTTCCACATTATAGTTGAGTGGTAGGATCATAGCATATAAAGACAACAGAGGCAGGGTAGTAGTAACAGTAACAATAAAGAAAATTCCACTAAATGCTTTCTGAATCCCTTTGTGTGGAATACCCTTATGACCAGCATTTTAGAGAACATGAAACCAGGCTTCCAACTCATAGATTGTTTGCCAAAGGCCACACAGATGGTAAATGGGCACATGAATAGTCAGATTCGTTTGACTACAGAAGTGGAGCTTTCTGCCACTGTGCCACCATGTAGCAGCACACAAATAAAAGAGGGAACTAAAAAGTCTCTGTACTTCTTTAGTGTTAAAGCCAGAAAGAAAAACAAAACCTGTATATACACTGGTTATCAACTATTTTTAAACAATTCAAAATAAGGGAAATGTCTCTGCTGTACTGGACCATCCTTTTATTATCGGGATGAGAGAGGTCCTGAAGACACAAATGACTACTTGCAGGTATTTAAAACGACCTTGTGCTTTTGACCCATATAATTTCTTACAAATTTGCAGGCATTTGAATTTTATATGTAGTTCCTGTTGTGAATTTCATCCATGCTCTTCAAAAATGGTTAACCTGTAATGGTTCATTTTAGTGTGTGATTGAAATTCATTTTCTTTCATCTGGCCCTTATCACTGTACATGTATCCTTAAACCACTTTAGATGAATATTTCACTGACCTTTTGTAACACAAATTATGTGTTATGTGACTCAGTGGAAAAAAAAGCTTTAGTTTGAATTTTTTAAAAACAGTTAAAAAAAAAGCAATGAAATATTTCGATACCATTTTTAGTGGTGTTCTAAATGATATGTTAATAATTGCATAGTTATGGTAATTTATACAAAGGATGCAAATAAAGTGAAGAGCATCAAACTTTCCCTCTCACACTTCAGAAACACAGGTATGTCCACTGCACCTCCAATACCACCCATTCGCTTTCTCACAAATGCAATGTGGTAGTTGCCACTTTAATGAACAGAGTTTATAAGATGAGAGGAAAAGGGCATTCCATTTGAGGAGAACAATATGTACAGGGTACAGCAATGATATGAAGGAAAACATTAGAAATTGAGGGGAGGATGAGTGCTGATAGGAGATGAGGCTATGTGGGGAGGTTGGGACCAAATTTTGAGGGCTTTTTATGCCTTGTGAAGGAATCTGAATAGGTGCTTAGGTAGTAGCAAACCACTGGAAACCCGTTTTCCTCTGTATTCAGGTACTTCATAGACTTCCTTTTCTTCCTGTTATTATTTAGATTGAAAAATAAAGCTAGCCACATCTCTTACTTTTTCTCATATCCATTCATAGCATATTTCTACAACTGAATTCATTGAACAACCCAATGCTATGGTTCAGTGTATGTGAAATTGCTCTTTGGCATGAAGAAAGCCATGACTAATTCAAAAGAAGCCAATTTCAGTGGAACTTTTGAAGACTTTTTGAAGCAATTGAAAAATAAAAACAGAAAAATAAAATTTCATTCAGGAGAAAAAAATGCATGTCAACTACTTAAAGCCATGGGTGCTCTTTCTCTAAAAGACATCCCCCCCCCCGGGGCAATTTTCCTCTATGCCTAGTATTAACTGAACTTGTTTTATGTACAAGAGCCTGACTTCAAATCAACTAGTTTCCCAGAATATTTGGCTCTTTTAGTACCCTCTGCTTTTACTATTTTTTTTCACTATTTCTACTTCAAAGAAAATTTGCTCTGTACAATTTTACCACATTATCCAGTCAAAAGTGTGTTCTTCTCCCAAGGCAAGAAGCATTGTCTGTTACTGAAGCTCACATGCTGAGGGACCAACAGAAATGTGGCAAACTTAGTAGAAACTGTACAAGAGACAAAATAGAATTCTGTCAGCAGACCTAATGAACTTGGAATGTGTTCTATCTCTCTAATAAATACTGGCTTTATTATGTTCTTAAAGTTGTCTGTAAAGTGTTTGTCATTTTACTTGTTGAAGTTGTGAGCAACAAGAAAACAGGTGGCTATGACAAGGATGTGCTAAATGGAAACTCTTTCAAATTGTTCATTAAATCACTAATTCTGTCCCACCACCTCTCAAATGCAAATGTATCATCATCAAGACTGGTGGAATGGCTAGCAGGCTTTATGAAATCTAGAGGGCTCAATATGTATGTTTAATTCTACCATACAATTATGCAATAAACAAATGTATTTATAGTACATTTGAAAATCCTAGGGTAGAAATAGGGTCAAGATAAATCTTTGCAAATTCTAATTAACATTTGCTTGGTCTTAGGAGCACAGCATTCCTACGGACATGGGCTATGCAGTGGCTCCTCACCATTCGGGCGTCTACCCTGTACATGTTCAGCTTTACGAGGCCTGGAAGAAGGTTTGGAACATTAAAATCACCAGCACTGAAGAATACCCACATCTGAAACCAGCTAGATACCGGAGGGGCTTTATCCACAAAAACATCATGGTGAGCTTCCTCCGGTATGCATAGGGTACACAATTAATTCTGGCAGATTTACATTTCTCAGTTGAAGAAAGGAAAATAGAGAAGAAAATATGAAAAGCATAACTGTAGGAAAAGCTTCATGCTGCAGGAAGCATGGGTGTTTTAGTTAAAATCAGTGTTTAATTCTTTACATATACTAAAAAATGTTTTTGTCACTGACATTACTACTGGTAAGCAGGCACTGATGTTAAAACACTAAGAAAATAATATATCAAATTTGCAGATAATTTTTAGTAGTCATCATTTCTTCAAAAGTTACTTACTATGTAAAATTAATACCAACTCTCTTTATATTAACCATGCTGCTCTTCTATAAGCCAAACTGTGATCTTCTCATTACCATATAACATATAAATATATAACATACAGAGCATAATTAAATCATTTATATACATTGTCTAATTCTACCCGGGGTTTCTGTTTTGTTTTGTTTTTTAAATGGTGGCAAATATGTGTATTACCAAAATATATTACTACTTCCCAAAGTAAGTAGTTAAATCCTAATTTTTTCCAAATCAGAAATTTCCCAAATCATAAAAAGTACTGGTAAAGCTGGAAATAAGCCTCCTAATTTAGAAATCACACACTGGGAAGGAACACCATGAAAAAGAACATTATGTGATGAGCCACCATAACAATCTGTCAACTGATATGTCTGAAGAGATGTCTACCCTCTAGAATTAAGTGTAACATTTCTTTTCAGACAGTTTTCTAATGTCTGCAAAATTAGAGTAGATAATGACATTTAACTTGTATCAACTCCCATCTTGACTTTTCCCTCAGTAAAAACTGTTGTAAATGCTAGATGAGACATAATGAACACATTTTATCCCAGTCTGCCCTTCCCCTACACTGAAAACTGAACTTACTGTGCCTTAAGCTACCAGCCTTCTGACCAAGGAGTTTAGAAGATCTGGGTTATGTTTTTCATTTCTCTGAATACATTTTATCTATATTATAAATGCAAGAATCCTGCAGGTAATCACGTTTTATCAGATTTCCTATTTTGATGGAAATGTCCCTGTGGGTCTACTTTTGCAGCAGTTCATGTAAACCCTCTATATTTGGTTTGTGTGTTCCTGGATAAAAATTTCCAAGTGGAAAATATCCAACAGACAGGTGGTTACACAATAAGAGAGAAAGAAGACAGGGCTAGGAGACATCCAAATAAGAAGCAAGCTGAGAACCCAAGGACCAAAATTCCCTCCTAGGAAGAGATTGCAAAGAAAAAGGAGGGAAACAGAAGGATGAGCCTTAGATCATGCTCATATTTTGTTGTATGTATGAAGGAAATCATTTTTGGTGATCCGTTCATAAATAGAACTCAGAACACCTAATTGTCCTCCCTCCACACCAGCTATCCTTAATTCAGTTCTGTAATTCAAACATTACACTGACCCCCCACCACCACCACTTCCAATCAATCTCCACATTCCATCAGTAGTACCTTTATATCATTTTATTTTATTTTCCACAGCCACCATCTGAATTCACTGCCTTGATTCTTATGTTTTAATTGTGGTGCTGGGTCCTACTTTGTCTATTTACAGCTCCCATCCACCCACTACTTCAGTCTATCACAGCCAGCCTTTTAGTCTTTCTAAAATGCTGTCTTCATCCTGGTCTTCCTAGCATTGCTTAGTTCCAGTTGTTTCCATATCCTTTAATGTGCTCTTCAGGGACTGAAAACAACTGAAGTAAGACTGCATTTCTATCTTCTACTTCCCTGTAGCTCACACGAACTCACTCCAACCAAAAAGGTCTAAAATGGTATTGTTGTTTGCATGCCTTTGTCATTCTTTTCATCATAAGTGACTTTCTAACCATTCTCTACCTATTTCTAGTCCCTTTATTCTTCAATATTGGGTTTCATACTTTATGTAATAGAATGTAAATCATGTTGGTATATAACAGCTCAATACCTAACTCATACCTACAGCGATCTTAGTTTCCTCTGAATCCTGTAACAGATCATTTTGTAATTCCATTAGGAACATAAAAGTCAACTACATTTCAAGGTAATGTAATTACCAGAGTTTCTAGACCTCTAGTTTTATTGAATTTTCAACTGGAAAATTTGTATCTTTAGTTAGTAAAGAACTGATGAAAAGCTAGGACTCTAACCCCTGGTTGTTAAATGTGACTCTTTGGAGAAAGCCAGTAACCTCTTAGGAATTATACTACCCACCTGAAGATGTACTTACTATTTTTAATGGAAATGCCCATTGGTAGGTTGCTGAAAAATCTCTTTACTGGTGGTCTTTACTGGTAGCCTCAGAAGTATTTGTTGGCTGTTGCTTCTGATTGCAACATTAGATACAAGATATTGGCTTCAGGTTTCACTGGCTAATATTATTGTTGACTATGGCTTTCATAACCATCTCCTAGTTACTGTCAGTAGCTATAAGGTTTCCAAGGTTTCAGCAGTGTCTCAAAGTTTGAGTTTTTGACAGTGTTACATTCCCAGAAGTAAGTCTAGAGGGCAGTTCACCACAAAGTACCTTTCATTCCTTCTCTATTGTAAATGCTAGATGAGACATAATGACCACATTTTATCCCAGTCTTTCATTCCTTCTCTAGCTTAAAAAGCTGCTTCAAGGAACATGTTCATCTTTCTGTAGCACTGCGTTTAAGAAGCAAGGCAGGGGAATATGACCCGTATCATGCTCTTGGTGATCTCCTTAAACTCCTGTGATGGTCCCCTGACTCTCCAAGCGTTATTGGAGATGATCATACTGTCAACAGGAGTAGCTTCCCCCAGAGTCTAAGGTAAAGCCTGGCACTTCCTCCTCACTGTGTTCAAACTCAGATAATTTGAGAAATAGACAAAACTCAAATTTTCACACTTTGCATAGAATCAGCTGGGCAACCAAGTCCAAGAATGGCTCTGTATATATTCCATAATTTTCCAAGCTAGATATTTGAACTGAGTCCTAAAAGCGATTCAGTCAGAGTCACTTATTTTTTTTCAATAGCTTTAGAGGACACGAATAATTTTTGATCTGGGCTTTAAGTGTACTCTCCAGTCCCATTTGTGTACATTGGACCTGATAGATTCTTTCATTCCTCTATCTTTTCCTCCAGTGTCCATTATTCCATTCTCTATGTCTTTGCAGATCCTTAGTGAGAACATGCAGTGTCTGGTTTTCTGTTTCTGCATAGTTCACTTAGGATGATGGTCTCCAGTTCCATCCAGGTTGCTGCAAAAGACATTATTTTATCCTTTTTGATAGCTGAATAGTATTCTATAGTACACACACACACACACACACACACACACACACACACACACACACACACACACATATACCAAGTTTTTATTATCCATTGATCATCCATTGAGGCTGATTCCACATCTTTGCAATTGTGAGTTGTGCTAGAATGAACATGCGGATGCAGGTATCTTTTTCATATAATAAACTCTGTTCCTTTGGGTAGATACCTAGTAATGGAATTGCTGGCTCAAATAGTAGATCTACTTTTAGTTGTTTGAGAAATATCCATACCGCTTTCCACCAATAGTATATATGTATTCCCTTCTCTCTGTATCCATGTCAACATCTATTGTTTTTGATATTTTGAATCATTTTGACTGGTATAAGATGGTATTTCATTGTGGTTTTGATTTGCATTTCCCTGACAATTAGTGATGTTGAGCTTTTTCATATATTTCTTGGTCATTTGTATATCTTCTTTTGAGAAATGTCTGTTCATGTCATTTGCTCACCTTTGGGTTATTTGCTTTATTCTTGTTGATTTGTTTGTGTTCTTTGTAGATGTGGATTCTAGATATGAGTGATTTGTCAGATGTATAGTTTGTGAATATCTTCTCCCATTCTGTAGGTTGCCTACTTGCTCTGTTGATTATTTCTTTTGCTGTGAAGAAGTTTTTTAGTATAATTAAGTCCCATTTACTTACTTTTTGTTTTTATTACATTTACTTTTGGGTTTTAGCCATAAACTGTTTGCCTAGGCCAATGTCCAGAAAAGTTTTTCCTAGGTTTTCTTTATGGTTTCAGGTCTGATGTTTAAGTCTTTAGCCTATCTTTAGTTAATTGTTGTATATGAGGAAAGATAGGGATCGAGTTTCATTTTTCTGCATGTAGTTACTCAGTTTTCTTAGGACCTTTTGTTAAATAGGGTGTCCTCTCCCCAGTATATGTTTTTGCCTGCTTTGTTGAAGATCAGTTAGTTGGAGATATTTGGTTTATATCTGGATTCTCTATTTTGTTCCATTGATCAATGTGTCTGTTCCTGTACCAGTACCATTCTGCTTTGGTTACTACAGGCCTGTAGTATAATTTCAAGTCAAACAGTGCGATGCCTCCATCTTTGTTCTTTTTACTTAGGATTGTTTTGGCTATTTGGGGTTTTTTTGGTTGGTGCTGGTGGTGATGGTTTTTATTTTATTTTTTATTTTTTGATTCCATATGAATTTTAGGGTTGTTTTTTCTAATTCTGTGAAAAATGATGTTGGTAGTTTTAGAGAGATTGCATTGGATCTGTATATCACTTTATATGGTCATACTTCCAATCCATGAGCATGGGATGTTTCTCCATTTGTTTATGTTTTCTACAGGTTCTTTCATCAGTTTTGTAGTTTTTCCTTGTAGAGATCTTTTAACTTCCTTGGTTAAATATATTCCTAGGTATTTTAGCTTTTTTGGCTGCTATTGTAAATGGAAACTGATTTGATTCTCAGTTTGTTTGCTATTGGTGGACAGCTGTACCACAGATTTGTGTGTGTTGATTTTATATACTGAAACTTTACCAAATTAATTTACCAAGTCCAGGAGTCTTTTGGAGGAGTATTTGGAATCATATCATTGGCATACAAAGATAGTTTGATTTCTTCTTTTCCAGTTTGGACACCTTTTATGTCTTTTTCTTGCCTGATTGTTTTGTCTAGGACTTCTAGTACTATGTAAAATAGGAAGTAGAAGTGGGCATCCTTGCTTTGT